TCGGAGGGTTTGTTGCGTTGGACACAGTGGCCCTCGTCTGCTCTTGCAGTTCTCTCGGCAAGCGGCTGGAGGCTGGCCTGGGCCAGTTCGGAGCGCTGGAGGCCTCCGCTGTTAACCTCGGCTGCGACGACACGGCTGGCAAGGCCTTCAGGACGGGAAAGGGGAGAATGCGCAAGAGGAAGAGGAAGACGCTCAGGAAGGTCAAGAGGCTGATGAAGATGAGTGCACACTTTGGCAGGAAAGCTGTGTTTTTTTTATCTCGGGGCCTATGCCGGGCTATATCTTCGGCTGCGAGGTCCAAGGCCTCACCGACGGTGAAGTGCACGGTCTTAGGCGTATGGCTGCCAGCGTGATCAAGCCGGAAGCTGCGAGACGTTCCCTCACTGTTCTCTCGCTCCTGGAAGGGGGCCCTGTCTGGTCCGGTTCGGTTGCTCCCATCCTTCGGTATATCAAAGAAATCTGGCTCCTTCGGACGCTCAAGTTCCAGGGGGCCGTCGACTGGGCCACGATTCAAGCTTCCTGGGAGAGTGTCTTCGCTAGCCGTCAGAAGACTGTTAACTGGAGGAAGGTTTCGGGGCCCATGAGTGCGATGTTCATGAGCCTTAAGAGGATAGGATGGGACATGAAGAATCTAGCTGTCTTTATTGATGACATGGGCCGCGAAATCTCTTGCACCCTGCAGTCGCCTGCTATGTTCAAGGTGCTGCTCAGGCAGGCTGTTCTTCGCCAACTGGAGAGGGCTGCATACCACGAGCTGGTCGAAGGTGGCCTGTTCTGTGGTCTTGCTGCTCCAGCTGCTGACGCGGACTTAGCTTGCCCCAGCGAGCAGTTGGCTCCCGATCGCACTCCCCCCGAGCTGTCGGGATCGAACCGTCTCTGTTTTGATCTCGTCACGGCTGGTCTCCGCTCGAAAAAGTTCACCGCTTGGGAAAAGGGGTCCCTGAGAGCCCTTGTCTGCAATGCTATCTGGACCAACTCGCGTGCGCTGAGGTGCGGCTACCAGGTCAGCCCCCTTTGTGCTCTTTGTAAAACTAAGATGGACGGCATTTTTCACCGTATCTGGGAATGCGAGGCCTGCCAGGACGAGCGAGCCGAGTTGGTAGATGCTGATATGATTCTGTGGGCCAAGGAGGCCCTTGAGAATTATGCTCCCGACCTGATCAATTTCCTCATCGGTGCTTTCGCTCACCCTGGCGACCTTGTCCCGCCCCCTTTCAAGCAAGATGGAATGGCTGGCGTGACTGTGGAGCGCTTACAACAAGGATTCCTGGATTCTGGTTTGGAGTATCCTGGGCCCGAGTCTGTTAAGCACCAAGGAATTATGTTTCTAGACGGCAGTTACTTCTACTCCAGAATACGCGAGCTCTCCAGGCCAGGTTGGGAGATTGTGATGTTATCTGATCAAGGCCACATGCTGGCCTGTGTTTACGGGCCTGTTTGGGCCCACATGCCCCGAACCCCTCAAGCGGGAGAATTCTCTAGTCTAGCGGCCGCCGCGGGTGTCAACCTTGACAGGCAATATGTCTTGTACTCCGATTGCGCCTCTGTAGTTTCCGTGGCCTCTCGGGAGCTTCGGGACCGCCGCGGAGGGCAGCGGGCCTACGCTGGCTCGGTGCTCGAAGCCACCTCGGGTGCTGGGCCGCGTTTAGAAGGCCTGGTCAAAGTCTCAGCCCACAAAGATCTGGATGAGGATGACATTTCTGCGCGGGAGCGATGGCGCAGAACTGGCAACCAGCATGCAGACACAGCGGCCAAGAGAGGAGCGTGTCTTCACCCTCAGGCGGAGCCTGAAGTCTTGCAACGCATCGATCGCGCTGTCAAGATAGCCAAATCGTTATTATACTCGGTGGCTTCGCCTCGATGTTTCGCAAGCAGAATTCGTCAGGCCTCCGAGAGACGTGAGATCTTCGGTGTTCGTCGCCCACGAGTGGGCCTGGACGGGAGAGTATTGGCAATGTACGGCATGTCTGCGAGGAAGGCGAGGTGCCCTTTGCCCTCTACCTGGCCGATGTGTTGTCCCGCCGAAGCTCAGCCCTAGCCTGATCGAGCAGAACGGCCACCAATGCGCGGTCGTTGACTGCTCGGATGGCTCATTCCTCTGTATCTGTCGTCGATGCGGCTTGTACAGCTCAGGGGGCCGTGTGATGAAGTTGGGTGCCCCCTGTGTCCCGTCGAAGACGGGGGCTGGGCACACTGCTTGGAAATACTTTTCGCAAGGCAGGCACCCACAGCAGATCAAGAGGGAGAAGAATGTCAGATTCCTCCTGTCTCCCTGGACTGTACAGTAGGGAGATAGAGCAGACGGTCCCCTGAAGAGGGGGTCAAGCAGCAGTGGAGCGTGAGTCCTCCTCCTCCTCCTTACAGGTGCCCATACCGCTACCCTTCCCTCGTTTTCTCCCTGTGGGGCCTCCTGGGAACAGGAGAGCTCAGGGGAGGAACGGGTACCCATACGTGGTCGTTTTCGCATTCGTCTCCCAAGTGCGGCAAGAGCGCGGGCGGCAAGACGGGCAGGCCCCAGGGGGCAAGGCTCGCGGCGGCCAGGACGGCAGCGCAGGCGGTGAGACCGGGTGGCGGCACGGCTCCCCCGGGGGGGGCGGGAGGGACGGGAAGAGGCGGACCGAGCGCGGGGAGGCCCGAGAGCGTGCCGAAGAGGAGGACAGAGGGAAGCCCAGGACCCACCCGCGATGCCGCGGCACGCCGTCCAGGGTGCGGGCCTCCCCCGCGGCACACGCCGCTGCCTTGTGCTCGCTGTCTCTGCGCGGGGCGCAGCCTCGTGAGAGGCGGGCGCCCCGAGGGCCCTGCGGCTCGGGCGAGGGCCCCCGCTCTGGAGAGCAGGCCGCCCTCCCCCGTGGCCCTCCAGCGTGCCAGCGGCGCGCCGGGGTGCGCCAGTGGGCGTTGTCTTGTTCGGCGCTTCGGCCTTCGGGTGGAAAGGGGGGGCGGAGGGGGGGTCTGGCTCCGGACCTCGGCTTGGCGCGGCTGTTTGCAGCGGTGCGTCCCACGAGGGAGACTCCACCTGCTCGAAACAGGCGCCAAAAACAGCCAAGATCTACTCCAGGAGGGGGGGGGAAGGGGGGGTGCGAGGGCCCGCGCCGATCGGCAACATAATGAATAAGAAAACGACGAGATGGCATGGTGGTTCTTTGGTGAGGGTTCCGAAGGGTTCAAAGCGCGATCCCCTGTCTCGAAGCGCGCGTCGTCAGAAAGCCGCCCCCCAACTTTGCGTCCCGATGTACATTGCGGCCTCCAGACTAAAACGACTGCGAGGCGCCCCCTGACTATCTGAAGACGGCTCAGCGAGCCCCAGAAAGGCTACACCATCCCCCCAAGAGGCCCCAAGAATCCTCCGAGCGAGACCGACACAAACCTCCAGCTACAAATCAAAAAAAAAAACGCTGGGTATGCTTCCAATGTTTTCGGCTTGAGCTCGTTGAGGGCAACCTTCAGAAGGCCCCACGGAGCCCAGGGGATGGCCCCGGACTGCCCCAAGAGACCCTCGACGGCCGCAGAATGCCCAGAATGCCCAGGGTAACCAAGCCTCATCGGGCGAGCTCGATGGAAACATCGTGCCCAGGACGCCCAGCGAATTCACGACTGGCTCCCTATTGTGCACGCAGCCCGCGGATGTCTGTGGAGCAGATGGCCGATCAACTCCCCTGGAACCTCTGGGGCAAGCAGCCGCGCACACGCGTGCTGTACTCAAAACTGGTTCGTTCCTTACCTCTCTCTCTCACTCTCTTTTCGCTCTGTCTCCCTCCTTCTCTCTCGCTCACTCTTCTTTCTTCCGGAAAGGGCGTGGGCCCAGGGCTGTCTAATGGTGATATGTAGCCTGTGCCATGTTTGCAGAATGAATTGGAATAGAATAGACTGATATGGAATGGAATGGAAGGGAATGGAAGGGAATGGAATGGAATGGAATGGAATGGGAGTTTGTGTGCAGCTCTGGCAACCGGAGCGGTCCCCGAGGGGTCAGACCGTGCGCTGAACACGTCGGGAAAAATGAAAGCCCCGAGCACACGCGGAAAACGCGGTTCATAACTCCATTGGTATGCATCGCCCCGCAACTTCATATACATGTATATATATATATATGTATAGATTATACACACCTACACAGAGTGTTGCAGGATAAGGCACTCAGTCAGAAGAAGCCTGCCAGCTAAGAAGGGCAGGAGGAAGAGGAGGAGGAGGAGGAGGAGGAGGAAGGAGGAAGGAGGGAGAGGAGAGGCGGACAGGTAGCAGCAAGCCGCGAGTGCATCTATATTTAGTGAGACAGAGAGAACCACTGCCTTATCATTAACGAAACGCGCCGCCCCATCTCAAGCTGGGTCTGCCGACAGAGCGTTCAACTACAGTTATGCACCAAGGCTTCCGATCTAATAATATGCTGTTCCATGTTTCTTCGGTGTCCAGGAGGAGTCGTGTAGCACTGTCCATAGTTCCACTGCCATACTTGAAGAGGGCCAGCTAAGTTCCGTTCGATAGAAACCATTTGAAGGCCAATTCTGGGTGGGAAAAGCGCGTTTCGCGGGTGCCCACCCGAGGAAAGTGCGCCCCCAATCTCGGATCCTCGATGCATGACGGGGCCCGCAGACCCCCCGCTTTTGAGAGGAAGGAGAAGGGACACCAACACCACCAGGGGGCCACCTCCAACGAGGAAGTTCACGATGCCTCCCCGAACTGGGGGCCAGGATACTCCTGGAGCGAGAGGGGGGGGGGACCACACCACCAAGGGACACCACCCCTGGCTCCTCGCGCTGGCTGGTCCCTGGTGGTGTTGGTGACGCTTCTTCTTTTTCCTACGTTTTCCCTCGGGGCACTCGCGCTTGAGGAGGGATCCGAAGAGGAGAAAAAAGAAGGGAGGAGGAGGAGAGGAGGAGGAGGAGGAGGAGGAGGAGGAGAAGGAGGAGGAGGAGAAGGAGGAGAAGGCGGAGGAGGCGCGCCCTCTGAGCGCCGAGCCCCGCTCGGGCCCTCGGCCGCTCCCACCCACCCCCCGCGCGGTCCGGAAGGCTGGGCTCAAGCAGCCCTCCGGCGGCAGCGGCGGCGCGTGGCACGCCGCGGCCGCCCTTTGGGCGCGCGCGCCGCGGGTCGAAGCACACCACGGGGAAGACAAGGACGAGCAGCACGAGGACGAGGAGGAGGACGACGACCACGACAACGACGACGACGACGACGACGACAAGGTCGAGGACGAAGACGAGGACGACGAAGTCGAGGACGACGACGACGACGAAGAAGTCGAGGACGACGACGACGACGACGAAGAAGTCGAGGACGACGACGACGAAGTCGAGAACGACGACGACGTCGAGGACGAAGAGCACGACGACGACGAGGAGGACGATGACGACGATAACGACGACGACAAGGGCGAGGTGGTGTAGAAACAGAAAACAAAAAAGAGGGGGGAAGGGGGAGAAGGGGGGAAACGGTCGTGATGGCGGAAACGGGAGGGCGAGAGGAAAAGAGGGGGAATATAAAGGACGGAAGAAGGAGGAGGGAGGCAAACACTTCGGTCCTCAATCATCCCCTCCCTCGCGGAAGAGGTGGATGGAGAAGGAAGTGTTGTCTGTGATTGGAAGGTTGCGCACTTACACAGTAACCTACAAAAGGAAATACACGCAGACGCAACAGCTGATACACAACTCTTACACCCTTACCAAAAACCATCGCAATTGCCCATGGTTTCTCAAACTCCACCTATAATGTGTTTATAACTCTTTGGGGTGTGTCCCAGAATAGGCGCTGGTTCAGGTTTCTCCCTTAGGTTGGTAAGCCTGTCCGCCGTGCCTCTACTGAAGGAGGCTGGCCATTTTTCTGCGGTCGAAAACGAAGAAATAGACGAAGTAACGTCCGATTGTGTTTAGACGAATCGGGTTTCGCCCGAGTCCGCTCGAAGAAAATGTGCCCCCCATTTCGGATCCTCGTTGCCTGATGAGGTCCGCAGACCCCCGCTTTCCTTTGCTTGAAAATTCTGGGAACGTTTTACGTATAATCCCTTGGAAAAAATCAGAGGCCCTGAAAATCTATATGGCATGACAGAATGTTGATGTGTTGCGTGCCCGCACGAGAATGGCGAGACCTGCGCACAGGTTTCTCGAGGATGTTTTAAGCCCCGTGCTCATTTCGCCGAAGGATTCGAGGATGGCGCGCCCTGCGTGCCGAATATCTGGGGATGTTTCGAACGAAACGCTTGTTTCGAAGCGATTGAAGCGCCTGGGCGCCCCATGATACCCAGGTGGTTCTGGGAGTGCTGTCCGATTCTTACTGACGAGCTGGAATCACGTGTTGTCATATGTCCTGGCCACCCAAAGGGCTATTCAATCATCTTGCACTGGCTGTCTAGAGCCTCGACCAACTTATTTCGGCGTCGCACCGCCCCCGCCGCCCCGCCCCCCCCCCGCCCCCCACACACGCCCGCCCACGCCAACCGCCACCACCACCAGCGTGACACCGCCCCCCGCCCAGCGCTCTCTGCACCCAGCCCCCCTCCGCCCCAACCACCTTACGCGCCAACCACCGCCCCCGCCAGCGCGACACCCCCCCCGCCCAGTGCCCTGTCCACCCCGCCCCCCTCCGCCCCGACCAATTTACGCACGGACCACCACCGCCGCCAGCGCGACACCGCCCCCCGTCCAGCGCCCTCCCCACCATGCCCCCCACCGCCCCGACCGCTGCATTTCGGCGTTGCACCGCCCCCGCCGCCCCGACCCCCCGACCCTTCGCCCCTCCCCAGCCGCCCATTGCCCTCTGCACCCCGCACCCCTCCGCCCCGACCACTTTATTTCGTCGTCGCGCCGCCCCCCGTCCAAAGCCGTTTCTACCCCGCCCCCCTCCGCCCCGGCCACTTTATTTCAGCGTCGCACGGCCCCCGCCGCCCCGCCCCCGCAAACCTTCCCCACTCCCCGCCCGCCCAGTGCACCCCGCCCCCTCCGCCCCGACAGCTGCATCTCGGCGTCGCACCGCCCCCGCCGCCCCGCCCCCCGACTGTTTTCCGATGTATCGCCCCTTTTCCCTCCTCACCCTCCCCCTCCTCATCATCATCAACATCACCATCATCATCATCATCATCATCATCATCATCATCATCATCATCATCATCATCATCATCATCATCATCAGCATCATCAGCATCATCATCATCATCATCATCATCATCATCATCATCATCATCATCATCATCATCATCATCATCGTCATCATCATCATCATCACCATCACCATCATCACCATCATCGTCACCATCATCAACATCACCATCAGCATCATCATCATCATCATCATCATCATCATCATCATCATCAGCATCATCATCGTCATCATCATCATCATCAGCATCAGCATCTTAATTTTCTTCATCATCACCATCCTCATCATCATCAGCAGCAGCATCATCAGCATCATCATCATCATCCTCATCATCATCATCATCATCATCATCATCATCATCATCATCATCATCATCATCATCATAATCCTTCTTCTCCCCTTTTGTGCACGAGCCATGGCGCGCACACGCCAGGTGCATGGTGGTCCCGAGCTGGAACCAAGTGGTTTTACGCGTCCAGGCCGCCCTAAGTGGGGGGCTATCTAAGACGGCAGCCTTGTGCCCCTCGCTGGAGCCGCCTTCTTTCACATGTCCAGGCCACCCAGAAAAAAAAGGTATCTAACATGGTGACCCCGTGCTGGAACTTTGTGTTTTTCCCAACCAGCCTGTGTTGTTGGGCCCTCGTTTTGAAGAGACAGCGCCCCTCGTCCCTCCCTCCTTCCCGCCTCCTCCGCTGAGGGCAGCAACGGAGCCACGAAGGGCAGCGAGGAGGCCACGAAGGGCGACAGCGGGGCCACGAGGGGCATGCATATATGTGTCGGCGGTGCCGGGTGCGGAGCGAAACCCCCCCCCCAGTAATCTCTCCTGGGGGGTTTCGAGCTGGCGCCATTCCCGGTGCGAGCCTGCACGAAACCCCCCGGTGAACACGACCTCCTCTGGTAGGCTGCACGAAACCCCCCGGTAAGGACGCAACCCCTCCGTAAGCGGCGCGCTCCCGGCACGCGCGAACCCCAGCCCCGACGCGCGAATCCTACCAGGACGGGCCGGAACACGGCGGCGGCATTGCATTCCAGGGCCGTGCCGGAACACGGCGGCACTGTTCTTCTCTACGCGGCCGTGCCGTCGACCCCCCACAGCGGCTCTCGGGAGTTGCGCCGCAGCCTCTCGTATTGTGGCCACGAGCCACAATACGAGAGGCTGCGGCGGAACAAAGGCGAGCAGACGCGAACAGAGAACACAAGGCGAGCACACGCCACACTTCGACAGGGAGCCACCCTTCCCAACCGCCCCCCTGCCCCCCCCCAACCCACCCCCCACTCCCACCCCCCCACTCCCACAGGGGGGGGGGGGAGCCCAGGTGGACGCAGTGCGGCCTGCACGAAACCCTCCAGTAAAGCGACAGGGGAGGACCCAATGCGGCCTGCACGAACCCCCCCGGTAAAGCGGCAAGGGGGGGTGTTCTAAGCCGCTGGCGGCACCCGGTGCGGGCTGCACGAAACCCCCCGGTAGTGCACGAGACCCCCCGGTAGTGCTGGGGGGGGGGTTCGTGCCACGGCGCACCGCCTACATATATGGGGCCACGAAGGGCAGCGAGGGGGCCACGAAGGGCTGCAACGGGGCCACGTAGGGCAGCGAGGGGGCCACGAAGGGCTGCAACGGGGCCACGAAGGGCTGCGAGGGCGCCACGAAGGGGTGCAACGGGGCCACGAAGGGCTGCGAGGGGGCCACGAAGGGGTGCAACGGGGCCACGAAGGGCAGCGAGGGGGCCACGGAGGGGCGCAACGGGGCCACGAAGGGCAGCGAGGGGGCCACGAAGGGCTGCAACGGGGCCACGCAGGGCAGCGAGGGGGCCACGAAGGGCTGCAACGGGGCCACGAAGGGCTGCGAGGGCGCCACGAAGGGGTGCAACGGGGCCACGAAGGGCTGCGAGGGGGCCACGAAGGGGTGCAACGGGGCCACGAAGGGCAGCGAGGGGGCCACGGAGGGGCGCAACGGGGCCACGAAGGGCAGCGAGGGGGCCACGAAGGGCTGCAACGGGTCCACGAAGGGCAGCGAGGAGGCCACGAAGGGCTGCAACGGGGCCACGAAGGGCAGCGAGATCCCGATTCCTAAGTAATTTGTGAGGGAGTCCTAGGCGTGAGCGCGACTCCTGGCTGCCTGAGTGTGGGGAGCGCGGCGCTTGAGCAAATTGCAGGAAATTCCAACGCAAGGGCGCTATGCTTTAGTAAATTGCAAGCAAGTGTCCAGCGAGAGCGCGACTCCAGAGAGCCGAGAGAGCGATTCCTGAATAAATTGTAAGGAGGTTCCCAGCGAGAGCGCGATTCCGGAATAAAATGCGAGGAAGTCTTGGGCGGGAGCGGTGGTCATGGCTAAATTGTAAGGAAGTCTCAGGCGGGAGCCGTTGTTGTTGTAATCCGGGGGCCAACAACGCAGTTTAAGGATGAAGATTTTCCCTGATTAAAAAGAACAGGGTGCGAGCGCCGGGGGGGCACTTCAATTGAAAGAACTGAATGTGCACCGGAGGGGGGATCAACAATAGTTATTCTTCAGTAGTGAGAGTCAACAACAATAACAGCAGCAGCAACAACAACGACAACAATCCGCACCGCAGAACCTCACTTCAGCCACGCGCCCAGGGACAGTGAATGACCGCTCTGCCCCCTCACTATGATATATATATATATATATATACACACATACTTCCTCATCAAAACAGAACACCAAAAATCGTGTGCATACACATAAAATGTAGCGGTGCATCAATGCATATATATATATATATATACATATATCTATATATACACCTATAGTGATATAGATATATATATATATATACATACATATATATGTGTATGTAAAGGTAAGTATGGCCGCGTCCACTTTGCAGCGTTGCCAGCCTGCGGAGGCCACGCGCACCCGTGTTGGCGGGCATGTTTTGCGTGACCCCTCCTGGGGGGGCCCTCTCGGGGGTGAGCCTTCGGAAGCCCAACGGGGCTGGTGAGATTCCGTGCTGGACACGTGACCCCGCGGGGCCGTGTGACACCGTGTTAGCGATGACTGCCGCTCCAATACAGAACCTTCGCGACGCAACCAAAATGGACGGCGGCGTGTCTATCTCTATATGTAGATATATATATATATATAAATAAATAAATAAATAAATAGAGACAGCGAGAGAGAGAGAGAGATGAGTAGAGAGAGAGGGGGGGGAGAAAGAGAGAAAGAGAGAGAAAGAGAGCGACAGACAGACAGACAGACAGACAGACAGACAGACAGACAGACAGACAGACAGACAGACAGACAGGCAGGCAGGCAGGCAGGCAGGCAGGCAGACATGGAGAAAGAGAGAGAGGGACAGCGAGAGAGAAAGTGAGGGAGGAGGAGGAGGACGAGTTCGAGGATGAGGAGGGGGAGGGGGTGGAGAGGCAAGGATGCTGGGGGAGAAACCATGAGGGAGTTGGGGCAGGGCGCAACGACATACGGTCACTAATGTGTAACAATCGCGTCTGCAGCATCACGCCATTTCCAGTGTTGCATGCCCCCACACTTTGCATACGTTGTTTGCACGTGGCTGTAACTCCTGTGGCCAGAATATAACAAGTTCGATACGCCTCATAGCTTATGATAGTGCTCGCCGTGACGGGACCCGAACAGAGTAGTGATCCATGTATGAGTACAGCGTCGGTTCACAAAACTGCATATCATGAGAAAATATACCACTGCCCTGTACAGTTGGCATTCCAATGCTCCGATTTGCAGAAATATAACACGGCGTTCCAAACTTATGGGTGGATTTAGAAGTGCGCAGCTCCGCATACACAAAAAGTGGATGCAGGAATAGGCGGAGTAAGTGGACGGAGGAGGAAATGGACGCAGGACGAGGAGACGGAGGAGATGGAGTAGGAGGAGGAGCCGCCCTGGCATCGGCGTGTGGAAGGTGGCGCCGCGGGAGTCGCCCACGTCTGGGGAGTGCGCCCTGGCGCGCGCGCGCGCGTGAAGATGCGGCGACGGCGACGGCGACGGCCATGGCCGTGCCAGCAACGACGACAGCGGCGGCAACGGTGGCACGGACGGCGACAAAGGGAAAGGGTAGGAGAAGGAAGGGAAGGAGGGGAGGAGGAGGATGAAAAGGAAAGGAGAAAGAGAAAGAAGGAAGGAGGGAAGATGAAGGAGGGAGGGACGATGGAGGGAGGAAGGAGGGAGGAAGGTGGAAGGAAGAGCAAGTAGAGAAGAGGGAGAACAGAGGAGGGAGAAAGGAAAAAAACATTCAGGGGGTAGGAGGGAAACGAAAGGAGGGAGAGAAGAAAGAGGAGGGTGGAAGGAAGAGGGGGGAAGGGAAGGGGGAGGAGGCAGTGTTGGGGACCGAAGACGAAGAGAATAGGATGGAGGAAAGATGCCGAGAGAGAGGGAGGAGGCCGAAGAGGAGGGTAGAAGGAGGTGAAGGGATGGAGCAGGGGGAAGCGAAGTGAAGCATTAGGGGCCACAGTAAGCCTGACACGCGCCAGTGATACTGAAATACACAATCTGGATTCGAGCCCCCTCGTCATACATGCACTGCAATGTTTCTTATCATTTGGGCAAGCGCCAGCTGGCGAGATGCAGCCCCTATGAACATCCATGACCAAGGCTTAGGGGCATCAAATCCCACCTGCCCTTCGGGCGTAAGTGGTGTAAGAAGTTCGCTCTCCCATTCCAATGCTTCCCCTACGGGCATGGGCTATTCACTGTTCCTGGTTAATCGGCCCTCCCCCACCTGACCAGGGGACAACCCAGAACCATGACAACACCCGCCCACCATCCTTCCCGAAACACACTACAACATGCATTGTGCAGCAAACTCTGGATCATGCGCGGAGACCACGCGCTCACGGTGCATCGTTTTCTTGACATGGACGAAGGGGGGCGGCATGTTGCCTGCTGCGCGCAGGCCTATCACCACTGTCAAGAATGAGCCTGGTGACGGACCCAACCATGTGCAGTTGTGAGTAACGCAGCGGTCAGTATCGTCTTCGGCGGATCTCCCTACGGGGCATCCAAGCGTGTGAGGGGTGTGCCGACATCGGCGCGGCGGGTGCATGCGAACGCAGCCACTTGGGCTTCGGTGGAGCTCCCCATAGGGGTCACGAAACGTTTGAAGGTTGTGCCGCCATGGGCGCGGCGGGCACGTGCGAACGCAGCCACTGCGGCCTTCGGTGGAGCTCCCCATGGGGCCACGATACGCGTGAGGGGTGTGCCGACATGGGCGCGGCGGGCGCATGCGAACGCAGCCACTGGGGCCTTCGGTGAAGCGGCTAGCGCATGCGAACGCCGCCATTGGGGCCTTCGGTGGAACGAGGGGTGTGCCGACATGGGCGCGGCGGGCGCGTGCGAACGCAACCATTGGGGCCTTCGGTGGAGCTCCCTATCGATTCAGGCCACGAAAACTGTGAGGGGGTGCCGCCATGGGCGCGGCGGGCGCATGCGAACGGTGTTACAGAGGCCTTCGGAGGAGCTCCCTATGGGCCTACGAAACGTGTGAGGGGTGTGCCGACATGGGTTTGAGGCCGCATGCGAACGCAGCCGGTGGGGCCTTCGGTGGAGCTCCCCATGGGGCCACGATCCGTGTGAGGGGTGTGCCGAATGGTTGACTCGTGAGGAAGGCAGAGGCTGGGATGGGATGGGAGGAGGGAGGAGGGGGGGAGGAGGAGAGGAGAAGAGAGGGACGTGGGACGCTGTCGCTTCAAAGCGAGAGCCCAACACCACAGTATGGTTGGGAATAATACGAAGTGCACTTTGCGGCAGGACCTTGATCATGCAACGACGCCCCACGATAACGTTGTACTTTCATGCGCCAGGATGATGGGAGATGTTCTGGCACGCGCGGCGCACCTCGCGGGCGTCGTGCACCTGGCTGGCGCTGTATTGGTTCCCGATGAATGTCGATGGGGACCCCCCTGCCCATGCTGAGACTCTCGAGTGCTACTTACGTGGTGGAAGGGCGGGTGGGGGTGAGCGAGAAGGCCGTCCTTCGGGAGGAGTCGCTTGACCACTGTTCCCTGCATTGGTAATACGCACCTCCTCCTGCACCCGACCAGATAAAAAGTAAGCTTCGCGAAAGACCCAACCATATGCAAGTGTGAATAACGCACTTGTGAATTGTTTCTTCAGTGGAGCTCCCCATGGGGCCATGAAACGTGTGAGGAGTGTACCAACATGGGCGCGGTGATCGCATGCGAACGGTGTTGATGGAGCCATCGGTATGGGGCCACGAAACGTGTGAGGGGTGTACCGACATGGGTGGGGCGGACGCATGCGAACACCACCACTGGAGCCTTCGGTGGAGCTCCCCGTGGGGCCACGAAACGTGCGGGGGATGTACCGAAATGAGCGGCGCGGACGCATACGAACGGTGTTACTGGAGCCTTCGGTGGCGGATTTGCAGTGGACGCCAAGGTGGGTCATATCTGGCCAAATCTAGCTTATGAGTGGGCTACAAGTGCCCTAAGCGGCCCAGGGGGTAGCGATCTTGGCTCAGTGGGCTCCGCCCACTCAGCGGATTGATCTGACCCCCTCAGCCGCTCATGGCAACTGCAGCCCACTCAGAAGCTAGGTTAGGCCAGATCTGACCCATTTCGGCATCCACCGCCAATCTCCCTACAGTAGAGGCGAGTCCACAAGAAACCTTCCACAAGAAACCCGACCCTGAGACCCCAGGACGCCCATTGATTTTTGGTGTGGGCTCGTCGCGCGTTCCACCGCAAAAGCATCGGAACCCAGGAAGCCCAGGGCACCCTGGAGGCAAGCAGGGTGTGTCTTGGCATGGGTCTCCACTGTAATCCCCCTATCTAGAGGCCTCCTAGATGGGGTCGGAGTAGATGGGGTCCGAGGATCGCGCGGCATTGGCGATGCATCGGCGATGCATCGGCGACGCCGACGTGGAGCAAATCGGGCCCCACACCGCGCCGAATCGGCGATGCATCAGCGAGGCGGCGCGAGCCTCCGACCCCACCTGCTCCGACCCCACCTGGGAGGCCCGGACCCTCTGAGCAGGGCAGAGCCGCAGCGGCGGGACAAAGCAGGGCGAGGAGGAGAGGAATGAAAACGAGAGGGGGGGGGGACGAGGCGGAGGAGGAACGAAGGGGGAGGAAGAGGAGGAATCGATGGCGATGAGGAGGAGCGGGAGGAAGAGGAGGGGCGGGAGGAGACACTGGAGAGGTCCTCCTCAGCGGCGTGCGGGGAGCCCGCGCGGCGCCGCGCCCCGAGGCCGCGGCGGGGGCGCCCGCGCACTGCGGCGGAGACCGCGCCCGCGGGGAGGCGTCGCGGCAGGCCCCGGGCGGCATGCGGGCGGTGCTCGGGGCGGCCGCGGCCGCGGGGGCGGCGGGGCTCCCGTGGGACGCACAGAGGCAGACTTGACCACTGAAACCCAAGACATCGAAACCCATCGAAACCCAAGGCGTCCAGGACAGAAACCCATCGGGCACTGAAACCTAAACCCAAGGCGTCCAGGACAGAAACCCATCGAAACCCAAGGCGTCAAGATGCCCATGGAGTTTTCCGCACAGGCACAAGCATGGGGCGCACAGAGACATCCTAGCACAATGTATATCCTCCTTGGAGGCGCGCGTCCGACCCGAACACATAGCAGACCCATTTCGTAGTAGATCGGTTCCCGAGCGGTGTGGCCAGAAGGCGCCCGCCAAGACGCATGTAATATGAGATTTCTCGGTGCGCGCCGCGCACTTGAGGGTACGACGCACACGTAGTATAAGCATGTTGGGATGGCGGGGCTCCAAGGAGATCGTTCCTGAGTTTTCGGCGATGCCCTGAAGCACAGGCACCCCGTATCATAAGGATGCGCGAGAGGGGTGCAAGGGCACTGGACGCCCATCTCGGAGCTTTTCGAACCCCGTATCGCAAGGATGCGCGAGAAGGGTGCAAGGGCCCTGGACGCCCATCTCGGAGCTTCTCGACGGGGGCGCGGCCAACGAGAGCGGCGAAGGATGGACCGCGGAGGCAAGGATGCAAGGGTACCCTTGGGAAGGCTGCCCACCCTCACTGTGCGGGCTGACTGCATCTGGCACCAGCTGGTGACCCGACCTTTCCTGACTACCTACCAGACCACCCCAACCCAACCCGAAGGCCCGAATCTGACCCGAAGTTCGGGTTGGTGGGGGTACGGATACCATGTGATTTCTCAACGTTCCCCGACCCCCCCCCACTGGAAATGGCAGGCAAATTGAGGGCTTCAGGGACGGGAGGACAGACGGGGGAATGGGGAGGGGGAGGGGGGCGGGGAAAGAGGAGCAGGAGGAGGAGAAGGATGAGGTGGAGGGGGAGGGGGAGGAGCAGGAGGAGGAGCAGGAAGAGGAAGAGGAGGAGGAGGAGGAGGAGGAGGAGGAGGAGGAGGAGGAGGAGGAGGAGGGTTGGGGTGGTTTGGTGGGTGGTGGTTTGCGCTGTGAGCAGCCCCGCGCAGGCCCGCGCGCGCACACAGAGCTGCGCACACCCCCTTCGGACCTGCGCAGCCCGCCGAGGTCGGGCTCTCTGCAGTCGGGGCGTTGACCTCGGGAACCCCAAACAGGGAACGAGGCCCCTCTTTTCCATGAGCTGAGCTTCGACTTCCCACGGGAAACCTCGGGAAAACCCTAAGCAACTCTTGAAACAATCAGGGAACACCGAGCCCCTCCCCAACGCAAAGGGTTCCTTCTTCAGCGCCCCGACTGTACACGGAGGGGGGGGGGGCGGGCGGGCCCGAATGACCCCGGGTGTCGCTGGACCCTTGGGAGAGTCTGTAGGCCTCCCCCCCCCTTCGGGCTCGAGGTTTGAGGTCCTCCAGGCCCGAAGCAAGGATCGAGCCGCGAGATCGCATCGGATCCGAGACGGATCCGATCGCCGACGAGATCGCCAACGAAGTCGAATCGAAGCCGCATCGCCACGACGGGTTCCGGCGGGCCCTGGCCGATGCTGGCGAGATCGGATCGAATCGAGTCGGAATCGCGGCACCAGCCAGCGAGTCGGGGATGAACAGAACCCCCTTTGGCAAAACGCGGTTCAGTGAAAACGACCTCGGGCCCAAACCTGGCGGGCGCGAGCCTGGAAAAGGACGGCCGCGGCCCAAACCTCGAACCTCTGCCCTCCCCCATTCCTCGGACCTGGAACCCAAAGTCCAGAACCCACAAAACCTCGAGCCTCGAATCCGAAACCTCAAACCTCTTCTCACCCCCTTCCTCGGACCCCGCACCCAAAATCCGGAACCCAAAACCTTCGAACCCCGAAGCCTCGGACCTCTTCTCCCCCCGTCCCGGGCCTCCGATCCGACACGGTGCGACTCTTCCAGGCACCGCGGGGCGTCCGAGAGGGGGGCGTCCAAGAGGGGGGGGGCGCCGATCGTGGCCGGCGGCATGTGCGCGGCCCCTGGGGGGGGGGGAGCCGGGGACGTCACGAAGCAAGAAGAGGCGCCACGAGATCTGGGGAGACATCCCGTGGCCCCCGCCATGAGATCCGCCCCCCCCCCCCGGTCATCACCCCCATTCGGCCACCCCCGACGGGGCTGGCGAGGCGGCCTCTCCCTCGTTCCCGCCTCCGCGGCCCGGCTCTCGGGACCCCTGGGACCAGCACGGAGGGATCCGGGAGTGGAACTCCGCAGAGGGAGGCAAGTGCAAGCAGGGGCTCGACCACAAGAGACCCTCCACCAGAAACCCAGCCCTGAGACCCCAGGACGTCCATTGATTTTTGGCGTGGGAGCGCCACGCTTCCAAACCCGAGAGACCCATGGCAACCTGGAGGCAAGCAAGGTGTTTCTTGACATGAGTTTCCGCTGCAGTGGACACTCCCCATCTCCCCCGAACTCCAAGCTGGCACGCGCGGGGGAGGCTGCGCTCCAAGTGCATCTCATCAGGCCCACCGCCAGCTTTGGACACTGGGGGGAGGGGGAGGCGTTGACCGACAAGTGTGGCATGCGTGTTCGCTAGTTGTTTCCCGAGGCCTGTTCCACCCTGAGAAGCCTGGGGGTCGCACAGGTAGGGGGCCACATGTGAACCCTACCCCTACCCCCCACGATTTCTGAAGGGGAGGGTGGGGTTCACTTCGTTCGTGGCACCCTAACAGGATGTGCGGCAGGTTCGCGTCGGGACGATCCTGGCGTCACTTTCTGACACCGCGCGGAGCGTTCGGCCTCGAGCGATCGGCGGCCTTGCGATCGCCGGATCGCTCCGTGTTGGGCGACTCTTGGCCACTGGCGGCGCTCCACCTCGCAGGCCCGCGCTGGGGTCGCCATCGCGTCGACGCGGCACGAACCCACCGCAGGCACGGGTGCGTGTTACCCCAGTTCGTGAAAGAAGGCGCCCAGAGGTCGGGATCCACCGAATAGGGATGACCCTGAAGGGGGGCATGAGCTCGATCCGCTGGTGCACCGAGCTGCCGCAAACAGATGCCCCCCGCATGCACCACCTGTCGGCAGCTATCGGGAGCTGCCAGCCGCTGCGGGGCATCTCTTTCGGGCGGTCCGGAGCAAAAACCGAGCGAACTCTCTCACACCCACACACACACACACCCTGGGGCACACACACACACACACTTTTGCGTCGGCGGCTGGGCAGAGTGACTGCGCTGGCGGAAAAGCATAAGTAGGACCTACAAATGCGAATGGAGCCGCGGTGCACGGGGGACAGAGAAGAAACGACCGGCGACGGCAGGACGGAGAAGACAGCCGGGCCCGCTCAGAGCGGGGCCAGGCGGCGGCAGGGCGGCGCCGGGGGGTAGGACCAGCACCACACACACACACACACTTTTTGGTCGGCGGGGCGAGAGCGAACCTCTTCCGCTAAAAGCTAGGCGGGCTACGCACAGCTCTAATTGGGGAGACAGGGCGAAGGCGGGCGGGGCCTCAGGCGGGTCACACACACACACACACACACTCTTTGCGGGATCCCGACGAGGTCTCGCGCCCCGAGCCTCATCCTCCGCCTCCCGGAGGCTGGGGAGCGGCGAGGCGGGGGTTAGCGGCGAGGCGTCGGCGTCCCCCAGGGCTCTGGCCGCCCCGGCGAGGAGGGCGGGGAGGGCTGGAGGTGGGCCTCGAAGCGGGGGGCCGGGGCCGCGGCCGCGCGGCCGCCCCGAGAGGCCATGGAGGTCCCCAGACATGCTCGCGCGGCGGGACGTCACGACGGGAGGCGTTCGGCGGTCTTCGGGCCTCTGGAGGCCCTCGCCCGGCCTCGGGGCCGTGAGAAGCCACCTGGGCTGAAGAGCGGGCCCCGGGGGGAGGGGTCAGGACTTCTGTGAACAGCGAGCTGAAGAAATCAAGACATCGCATGTCTGGGTCCCCAGGCGGACGGGGGGGAGGTGGGGGAGGTGGGGCTGGAGCGAGTTGGCATATTATCTGGTTAGCTGCCCACTAGTATGTTTTTCCATCTCAATTCGGCAACTCAGGGCGACCAAATGCTGGAGGCCGACATGGCGCGAAGTCAATGAGTGCGGTAAGCTGTATTTTGAAAAGTGAAATGCGTAATCGCACAGCTTCTGTTTCTGAGCACAACGTATTCGGCACCTCCACCTCCAAACCCGCATCCACATCTACATCATGTTCCTCATATGTTTCGTCATCCTCATCATCATAATCATCATCACCACCACCAGCATCATCATCTTCACCATCATCATTGCCATCACCATCATCGTCACCGCCATTACGATCACTACCACCATCATCATCATCATCATCATCATCATCAGCAGCAGCAGCAGCATCATCAACAACAGCAGCAGCATCGTCAGCATCAGCAGCATCCTCATCATCATCATCATCATCATCATCATCATCATCATCATCATGACCATCCGAACCATTATCATCCACATCATCATCATCATCACCATCGCCTCCACCACCACCACCATCACTGTCATCATCATCATCATCATCATCATCATCATCCTCCTCATCATCAGCATCATCATCATAAGCATCACCATCGTCAGCATCATATTTCTGACCATGACCATCAACAACTTCATCTCTAGCGTCGTCGTCATAATCGTAATCATCATCAGTATCAGTTGCATCACCATCATCAGAGTCATCGTCACCACCATCATCATCACCACCAGCGCACCTCAGCAGCATCAGCATCATCATCAGAATCATCATCATCGCCATCAGCATCATCATCGTCAGCATCATCAGCATCAGCAGCATCCTCAGCATCAGCAGCATCCTCAGCATCATCATCATTATCGGCATCGTCATCGTCATCGTTAGCATCAGCATCGCAGTCATCATAATACTTCCATTGGCCATAACCATAGGAAAACAATCGTCATAGTCAAAGTGATATCCATAGTCATAGCCATCAGCATGTTCATCTATATCATCACCATCATCATCAACATCGTCGTCGCCATTATCGTTAGTATCATCATAATCCGCATCATCACCAGCATCGTCAACATTACAACCACCACCACCATATTCAACACCATCATCAACATCATCAGCATAAACCTCATCATCATCACCATCAGCATTACCATCACTATCATCGCCACCGCCATCACGACCACCCCCATCATCATCGTCATCATGACCAGCCGAACCATACTCATCCGTATCATCAGAATCATCACCACCACCATCATCGTCAGCAGCATCATCATCATCGTCAGCATCATGCTTCTGATCATGAACATCGACATCTTCATCACCAGCATCGTCGCCAGAATCATTTGCAGCAGCAGCATCATCACCATCATCATAATCATCACCACCGCAATCATCAACACCATCATCCCATCATCCGCATCATCATCGACATCGTCATCGTAACCGTCATCGCTAGCATCTTTCCCGCAATCATCACCGTACTTGTCTTAGACCGCTATTATGAAGTCATAGTCAAAGTCATAACAAAAGCCATAGCCATAGTCATACCCATCACCATGTTCATCCATAGCATCATCATTATCATCATCAGCATCATCATCATCATCACCATCATCATCAGCAGCATCATCATCATCATCATAATCATTATCACCACTATCATCATCGTGGCCATCATCATCAAAATCAGCATCATTATCATCATCGTCATCATCACCGTCATCATCATCATTATCAGCATCAGCATCAGCATCAGCATCATCATCAACAGCAGCGTCGTCATCATCACCATCAGTATAGTCATGACTATCATCATCATCATAATCAACATCGTCATCACCATCGTCATCGTCACCGTCAGTATCATCATCATCATCGTCATCATCATCATCAGCATCAGCATCATCATCGTCATCATCATCGTTGCCATCATCATCGTCATCATCATCATCATCATCACCATCATCATCACCTTCATCAACGTCATCGTCATCATGACCATCGGCGGGGAGGAGGAGGACGAAGGACAGGAGGAGGAGGAGGAGGAGCAGGAGGAAAAAAGGAAAAGAAGGAAAAGGAGAAGGAGGAGGAGGAGAAAAGGGAGGGAGGGCGGAAGGCAGGGAGGGAGGGGGAGGAAGGGCCAGGGATGAGGCAGGGAGGAGGGAGGAGGGAGGGATGAGGGAGGGTAGAGAGAGAGAGGAGGGAGGGAGGACGAAGGGAGGCAGGAAGGAGGGGGGGAGGAGAGAGGGAGGGAGGGGCAACAAGCAGGAAAACCAAAAACGAACCGATACCGCTGCTCACCGCACCTCTCCCGAGAGCGTTCTGATCTGGGTTTCGAGGCAAATCCAGCCATGGCGACGAGGTCCTCCCAGGAGGCCCTAACAGGTGAAAACGAGGGAAGGGTCGCGGTATCAGCACCTTGTCCTCGTTTCACCACGGCGAAAGGAACGAGTGAGAGAGGGAGGAGGAGGAGGGAGGAAGGAGGGAGGGAGGAGGGATGGAGAAAGAGAGGATGAAGGGAGGAGGGAGGGAGGAGGGAGAGAGGAGGATGGGAGGAGGGAGGGAGGAGGGAGATTGGAGGAGAAGTGAGGGAGGGAGGGAGAAGGGAGGAGGGGAGGGGGGAGGGAGAGCGGACTAGGACTAGCACGGTCCCGGTAGCCTGCCTCCCGAGAGGCAGTTCCAAGAGGAGATAGAAAAACAAGAGGAGGGTGCGACCGCGATTGGCGCGAGTCACTCACCCCGGAGAGGCCCCATAACATGGGAGTACAAAGGGCCACAGGGCAGGCCGCACAAGCAAAATACAATGGGAGGAACCGAACGCTCCACCGTGCACTGGATCATGGCGACTGGATGAGCAAAAGCACGTGCGGCCATGCTCACCCTTAGGGCAGGAGGCGAGGAAGATCTTGCATCTCAAATGAAACCACCTGCGGCAGCTGAGCGACATAGTATCATGACGCACGCGGCAAATTGTCCCCGCAGCGTGGCCGATATTCGGCCTGGACTGGGGCATACATGCAGTTTTGTCGGGCACACGTTGCTGCACCATTGGTCCTGGCAGAATGCACCAAGATACTGTCTGTACTCGTGCGCGGGCAGCCGAACGACCGGATAACCACCCTAAGTTTTAAGTGCTTTGATATACTTCGAATGGCTGTCCTGCGAACGTAGCCGTAATTCGAGGCGAATGCCTTATTATGTTCGGCTGCCTCTTATCGTGCCTCCCATTGAAACCAAGACCGCCCACTACACAATTTCGTTTCTGAATTGCGTGCGAAAGCCGAGCACTCTGCGACAAGATGGGCGACCCAAGTCAGAATACGAGGCATAATAGCAGGGTCCACCAGCTCATCATAAAGCCACGTCGGTGCTGGCAGCACAGGTCATGTGGACTGTTTACTCTTGGGGTCCAGCCCCTGCATCAAATTGCCAAGCCTGTACTTGGCGGCGGTGGAATCTAGGCACCTGTTGCAGTCTTTGGAGATGTCCAACACTTGCGGACGAATGCGAACTACAAAACTTAAATGATACACACCTACCTGCACGGGGGGCTGGACACGGTGGCCCAGCAGCATATGCACCTGAAGCGCTGCGAGGAAGGATCCCATGCCAACGCATGTGGGACTCCCGTAGGCGATATCACAACAGCCGCTGGGGGGGCCCAGGCATGGCGAGGGATCTCATTTAGACGCGGCAAAACGCGAAACGTTACACATCCTATGTACTCGCCTGTACGCTTGAATGAAATACGCTACTTGCCCAGTCATGCCATTGCCATTATATCAACAGGAGGGCGTCGAACACGAAGCTTAGCAAACCTGTCGGCATGTTCGTTCCCCATTGCTAACCAGGCGGCCTGGGCAGGGGAAGAGACATCAAGGATCAAGGTGAGCCTTCACTTTGTGGAACCAGATGTTGTCGTAACAAATGTCGGCAGCTTTCGTGTGGATGCGAGCCCTGATGCCCGCATGCGGGCTCCAACTAGAGACAACGTGATAAGATGGAGCGACCCACAAACCAACCACCCACTGGCAATCGGCGTAAGAGACATACTTACCATTTGAGTCTGGTCAGGCACGCAGGAGAAAAGGAAGCAGAGCCAAATGTCCAGCACCAGCACACGTTGATGAGCACCTGGGTACGCACCGTAGGCGGCCACTCGCGCCCCGCCAAATGGCCCTACTGCTTCCGCGGAGAAGCCGCAGCGCAATGCTATCGGTCAACCGGAACCGTCACCAAACACAGGAGACGCGAGTAGAGCAGCAGCCTGGGGATCAACTCCGTAGCTGGATGTGGCAACAGCCGTTCTGGATCAGGCAGCACGGCAAAGTACCAGAGCGAATCAGAAAGGAAACTCGCTCGAACACGTTCGACGTGAGCTGTTAAGCCATAAGCTTGTCGATCAGACGGCGTGCCATCACAATCCCAGAGAAGGTAACGCACACCAGGTCGCTCGTCAGCATTGATCGATCCGCAGAAAGAACATGGGCTGGCTAAATGCACTGCCCCGGCGATGACAGATCTGAGTGCCACAACTTGAGGTCTTCCAAACGCAGGCGCAGACATTCCGATTATGGTGCGGGTCGCCCACAGAAGTGGAAAAGCACAGGGTGGTGAGGGGGTGTTTGCTACCATCCCCATACCTCCGCGTCCCCCGCCACCATAGTCTCGACATCACAGGGTGAAGTTGTAGAAGTATCCATGTGCAGACCCTGCGGGTTGATCCAAAGAACGGTGGATTGGACGCCCCACCCCAAACGCAAAAGCGTAGCCTCAGAAGACGACGCTGGGCCACGAATGCCATCCTAGCAGGTGCCTATAATGAACATTATAAATGGCCCAGTGAAGCGCCTCGTCCACGAGATGCTGCGGCACCAGAGAGCCCGAGCGACTAGCAAGCTAACACAACCTCGGTATGAGATTGAACCAGTAGATTTATGATGCTGTCCACGGCCAGGTCCATGTAAACACGGCGATGAAATCGCGAACACAGAGCGACGCCATAAGCAGAACGTGTTTGACTAATCTGCACGGTGTTAACCCCCATAACACCTGACCCATAAACTACTGCGGGCTGAAGGCCAGAGCGGACAACACGTCCACAACTAACCCTGGCCGTGCGTAGTCGAGCCGTCCGGCGTGCACGATACATAACTTGTTTAATGCCACGTGCCGCGATAGCCCGCATCGAGGCCGCAGCGTGAAGCCGATCCCCAACATCATAACGTACTGAATTCCGGGACGATTACGCCCTCGACCAACGCAGGGTCGGACATCAGCGAGGTCATTTTGGGCATGGAAGCTGAGAGCTGGGCAGAGGACAATAACAGGTTAAAGGTTCAGAAGCGACGAGGCGACAAGCGACGTCTGTTCCAGAAGAGACTTCGGCGCTCCAGCAAGCAAGCATTGAACATCACCAGCCACCAAGCCATAAAGCTAGTACTATTTAACGACAGATCTGCGTTTGGTGATCCATATCACGGAAAAACGTTGCTCAAACCAGGAGGTCTGCGACTGCGCATTCTGAAAATATTGCGCGTGCCGCCCGCACCACATCGCCAAGAATGCCCTGAACGGAAATGAAGCGGGGTCCGAGGTACAACTCGACCAAAAACCGAATTAGAACAGGATGGGCGCCCAGCTCAAGAGCCATGGGGACCGACCAATGGTGCATGACATTCTCGGAAGCCTGCTCTTTGTCCAATAGAACCGCCAGGCGCAACCAACCACGAGCGCGCACAATTTTCTCCATGAAAGACTGCTTCCAAACGCACGCCACACAGGAACGACCAAGCAAGCCATGCAAATATGGTCGCGACGTGTCTTTTGCAAATCGGGCGGCCACGGCACGCCAATACCGGCGCGTCATAATCCGAATGTCCGCGGCGAAACGTTCCTTACGTCGCGGCGCGGCCAGAGGCAATCTGCGCGCGCGCTTGGGCGAGACCGGGGCACGGAACCGCGAATTAACCCGCATGCAAGAAGAAGTGTCGAGGCGAGGGAGGCGGCCGCGGGGAGAGGGAGCCGGGCGCGAGGGCACTCTCACGCGACGGGGCGGCGGCAAGCGCGCGGGGGCGGCCAGGCTGAAGGGCAGCCCCTGGCAGCTGTCGCGGGGCGGCATCACGACGGGGCGATCGCCGCGAACTTTCTTCGACAGTAGAAGCAAAGCAGTGCTCGAAAGCTGCCGAGGAGGACGTCCAAGCAAAAGCATCAATCTCCACAGAGAGGTTCACCAACCCACCAAGAGCTGCATCGCATAACTGGCCGATGTGCCGAGGGTGCAGCCAATCGACGCCACTTGGCGTCCTCCTGCGACATCTGCCCTCAATCCCGAGGATCTCTCAGGGGCCCGCACCCCACATTGCCCAATCTTCCGGGGCGCGCAGCGTGGCCCCCGGGGCTCCCCGGCGTGCCCCCTGGGGCCCCACAGGCGCCTTCCCGCACGACTCGCATCGGGCCCACGAAGGCCCCAAGACGGGCCCCGAGTGGTCCACGAGGGGGCCGAATCGCCCGTCAATCGGTCCAAGTCGCGCGGGATGGCCCCCAGCCGGGTCCAAGCGCCCAAGACGCCCCACGAGGCCTCCAGGAGGCCTCCCACGAGGGCCCCGGGAGGCAACAATCACTGGCTGTCCTTAGGTTTTCGTAGTTTGGCGGTATCGCCTTTTCGGCTCCCGACGCTCCAAGACAGCCTCAGAGGACCCCAAAATCGCCAAAAGACGGCCCACGAGGCCTCCAAAAGGGCCCCAAGATCGCTCCAGAGGGCCCGATGACGGCCCAAGAGGCCTCCAAAACGGCCCAAGAGGCCCCCAAGATGCCCCCAAGAGGGGGGCCCAGTCGGGGGACCCGAACGAACATTTCGAGCCCTCGGCCCCGAGAGACCCCCAGGAGGCCCCAAGAAGCACCCAAGAGGCCCATAAGAGGTTGCAAGAGGCCGCCAAGAGGTCGCCACGAAGCCCCCAAGAGGCCCAACTGAGGCCCCAAGAGGCCCCAAAACAGCCCCCCAGAGACTTCAAAACTGCCTCCAGGAGGCCCCGGAGAGGCCTCCCACGAGATCCGAACAAACATCAAAGAGGCCTCGCCCCCTGTTGGCTTGCCACAGGGGTGCCTGGCGTGCTGAGGTTCGGGAACTCTTGGTTCCTATAAACTCCTCCTGGGGCTTCGGCCCAGCGCGCCGACCATCCAGACGGCCGCGTGAGCCAACGAAAAATTGCCCAATCGCTTCCTAGAAAGCCAAAATGGCCTCCAAGCTCGCCCGAGATGGTCCAAGATGGCTTCCAAGATGGCCCAAGAGGGTCCAAGATGCCTCCAAGTCCGCCAAAGAAGCCGCCAAGACGGCATAAGTTGGGCCCAAGATGGCCTACGACGGCCCAAAGAGGCCCCCAAGAGGCCTCCAAGACGGCCCAAGAGGCTCCCAAGAAGGCCTCCAGGAAGGCGTGCAAAGGCAAACACCGATGATTTTCCAAAGAATGTTGACGGATTTGGGCGTTTGTTACATTTTGGCCTTCGGACGGCCCGAGACGGCCCAAGAGCCCCCCACGATCGCCCAAGATCGCCCAAGAGGCCTCCAAAATGTCCCCCGAACGGCCCAAGAGACCCCCAAGACGGCCTCAAGAGGGCCCCAAACCAGCCCACGAGGGCTCCAAGACACCCAAGATGGCCTCCAAGATGGCCCTGGAGCACCCCAAGAGGGCCCCAAGTCGGTTCAGAGAGGCCCCCTAAGACGGCTTCCGACGGCGCCAGACGGGCCAGGAACGCCCCAAGACGGCCAAAGAGGCACCCAAGAAGCCCCCAAAGGCCCCCAAGAGGCCCAAGGAGGCTTGCCTCCAAGAGGCCCCCAGTAAGCACCCAGGAGGCGCCAAGAGTGCCCCCAGAGGCTCCTAAAATTTCCCCTCCTTCTCGTCCCCCCATCCTCCTTCTCCTTCTCCGTCTCCTTCTCCTTCTCCTTCTCCTTCTCCTTCTCCTCCTCCTCCTCCTCCTCCTCATCATCATCAGCATCATCAGCATCAGCATCATCATCATCATCATCATCATCATCATCATCATCATCATCATCATCATCATCATCATCATCATCATCATCATCATCATCATCATCATCATCATCCTCATCCTCATCCTCATCATCATCAGCATCATCATCATCATCAGCATCATCATCATCATCATCATCATCATCATCATCATCATCATCATCATCATCATCATCATCCTTCTACAAATCTTCCCCGCCATCAACGACTGGGGGAACACATGGTCCGATAGCTTGGCAGAGCTCTGGCCACGACCACATGGGCGATTCAGAAAAGCAGGGGGTGGCGGTGATTCGCCGTGAGCGTCTTGGATACTGCTGAACAGTGTCATAGCGCAGACGTAGGAATCCCGACGCATAACTCTCTCGCGAACCTGGATGAGGCGCCCCAGACGCATGGCCAGATGGCGCCACAGCGGGGCATGACATCCACCGCAGTAAAACGGGCATGCCAACGAAGACATACATGAACCATCACGAATGAGACGTCCTGTCCGCAGCGGGACTGCCAGGAAGGGTCCGTTTGATGTAGAGACAGCAACTCCCCTGCAGCACGCTGTACCTATACATACATGAGCTAGTCTAGGTATGCTGTCTCGCCGAGCTCGGGATGAAAATCGCCATGCATTGTGGTGGCAGATTGCAGCCCTGAGGGATATCAACCGGAATGCTGGAAGGCTTCTGGATAGCCCTTTACCAGCCGCCGCCGAAAGCTGCAGCGGGCAGACTAAACCACGGGCTGATGCTCGGGATGGCGGGGAAGATTAGGAGAAGGAGGAGGAGGAGGAGGAGGAGGAGGAGGAGGAGGAGGAGGAGGAGGAGGAGGGGGGGGGGACGAGGAGGAGGGGACGTCTTGGGAGCCTCTGGGGGGCACTCTTGGCGCCTCTAAACTGCACAAGACAAAAGCAGGACGAACAGCAAAGAAAATAGCCAGAGGAGGCGTATCGCCCGATGCCGCACGTGGGCCTCCTTCTGGGCCGCGAAGACGCAATCCGCCAGATCAGCCCCGCTAGCGCGACGAAGATCACCCAGAGACATCTGTTAATCACCACCTACAGCGTAGGAGGGCTTGGAGGCCTTGAGGACGGCCGCCAGCTTCGACGAGAGATCACGTTTGGCCTCTGTAGCGTCAGAGCCCCCAAAGATACACCATACAAAAGAATGCCAAAAAAGGCAACTCCGAACCAAGACGTGGCTACGCACCGCTCAGGGGTGGGCACATCGTCCAAAGGAAAGGTATACTCACACAGTGCAGTTGACCACTTGCACAAGGCACCCACTCCTGACGATAAAACTACAGCCTGAGTGAGAGCAGGAGCATGCAGAGCAGATCGATAACCAGCCAGATCAGCCTGGTGATGAAAAAACATCCAGGGCCCCATGAGCACGATATATTTCCAAGGTGCACAAGGCAACATGACTCGTAGAACCAAGCAAGCTGGGCAACGAGTCCATGTGGCGGTTTCCCGTTGGTTCTGTTACTGGCCTCTTGGTCCACCCGGCTCCCCCTGGCACTGGGGGCAAGCAACCCCAGCAAGACCTCCCCCAATATCGCCTTCAAGCGTAACACCCGGCGAACGGACATATACCCGAGAATCCCTAACCTAATCAAGGAGGTCACGGTCCATCCGCACAAGCTTGCACAGGCCGTTGACCCTCAGAAAACCAATGCGTATCGACCGCGGCCCCGCCAAGAGCCTTCCAGGGGATGGGCTGGCATCCCCCGAATCGCGCGGCCCTGGCGATCGGACCCCAAGATGTCTCAGGAGACACCCTCGGACGCCCTGGCGCCGAGATGCCCTGACTTGAGGTGCTCTGGCCCGTTTCGCCTGCGACATCCTCGCACATTGGGTTGCAAGATGCGGTTCGCGATGCGCTTAGGCCCATTTCGCTTGATACATCTTCGGGACCCCTGGCTCCGAGATGCCCTGACTTGAGGTGCTCTGGCCCTTTTCGCATGAGATGCCCTCACGATTTTGCGTTCGAAGATGCGGTTCGCGAGGTGCTCAGGCCCGTTTCGATGGAGGCATCCTCGGAACCCCCTTCGAGATGGTTCTCGAGGTGCTCAGGTTCGTTTCGCCTGAGACATCCTCGGAACCCCAGGCTCCGAGATGCCCTGATGTGAGGCACTCTGGCCCGTCAGGCGACACGGGCCTGAGCACCTCAACAACCACATCTTGGAAATCAGAGTTGAGCGGCTGTCTCAGGCAAAACGGGCCAGAGCATCTCAAGTCAAGGCATCCCGGGCCAGAGCCTCTGCGAGCCATGGGGCGCACCGAGCTCTTTTGAAAGCAACACCTCCCTGGTACCGCCGTTGGGGTTGCCGGTGTCGCCTGGGGCTGCCCCTGGCGACCGAGGCACCCGGGCTCAGGTGCTCTTCCCCCCCCCTCCCGCCAGGCAAGGAAAGCCCTGGAGGGGTCCAGAACAACCCCAAAGCAAGCAAAAGTGACCAGCGAGGACCATGAAGCTCTGATAACACACACGCCCACCTCCTAAAACAAACAGGCAGTTCGAGGCATCCCCGCAAGTTGGGCGCGAACAATTGCAGACGAGGAGTGCCCCGAAAGCATTATCCTTCCTCCTCCTCCTCCTCCTCCTCCTCCTCCTCCTCCTCCTCCTCCTCCTCCTCCTCCTCCTCCACCTCCACCTCCACCTCCACCTCCACTTCCTCCTCCTCCTCCTCCTCCTTCTCCTCCTCCTCCCCTCTTCCTTTTCGTCTTTCTATTCGCACTCCTCCTCAGCAATTGCTCAGAATTGCGAGGATGTCTCATGCGGAACCGGCCAGACCACCTCGCACGAGGCATCTTTGTACCCAGAATTGCGAGGATGTCTCATGCGAATCTGGCCAGATCCCCTCGCGGGCGGCATCTCCAAGCCCAGAGTTGCGAGGATGTCTCAAGCGAAACGGGCGGGGCCACCTCAGGTCACGGCATCTCCGAACCCAGAATTTCCAGGATGTTTCCAGCGTGATGGGCCAGATCACCTCTCGCGTGACATCTAAGCGCCCAGGGTTGCGAGGATGTTTCAAGCGAAACGGGCCAGCTCAGCTTCAAGTTTGGCGAATGTCTCGACGCGCAGGACCTTCGGACGGCACTCGATCTTCGCAACACCCATGCCCCCCAGCACCGGCCGGGCAACCCGTGAGCACTCCACAACAAAACCTTTATGACGGCAACAATCGAGAACCTCCCAATCAGCAATGTAAACGGAAACCATTCGCCAAGAACGTTGCCGCTTAAGACGACGACTCCGCCTAGACTCGGGGGGGGGCGTAGTACACGGCAAGTCCTAAAAAGAAGCTTTAGGAGCAAAAACGCGTAGTGGTATAAGGGCCAGGGCAACAAAGGCCCCAGACTCGAGACTGCCCGTCCGACCCTCGCGGCCGCCTACCGTGCGAAGCGTCATGGGCAGTACGAGGAAGTCCCCGATGGGCAGGAGTTGGCCATAATGGCCTTCGACAGCCCCACGATTTGCCCTCCAAGCGTCCCAACCCATAGTGTCTGAATCAAACTCCTCATCTGAAGGATCCCAGCAATCGATGGGAACAGCACCGAACCAACGCTTACCACGAGAACCCTGGAGGGGCGTGAAGCCGGTTTTGATTGGGCGTTACTGAGTCTAGAGTGGGATTCCCTGCCTCCTGCCGACAACCCTGAGAAAGGCACCACTGCATGAGCGACATGGAGTAAGTTGAGGATGTTCCGGGGAATGGCCGACTTGAGGCAATCCACGACTTCCTGAGAGGAAGCGAGTTCGGCAGCAGCCTGAAAATCTGGGCCGAGCGCAGCCTCCTGTGCTTGCCAGTCCTGCAAGACCGACTCGAAGCGGCTGGGGGCGCGCGAGGAGAACCCCGTCGGCCAGGAGGCAAGTAAGCTGCTCCTGCAAGTCGCCGAGATGCCCCTCACGCTTCTCGGGCTTGCTCCAGCGAGTGCGGCTAGACACTTGCGCCCGACGCTGATCTGGAGTGAGCATGCCGTAAATCCCCTGCTTCCCCTTGGCGGTGTCGCGACGAAGACGTTCGAGCTCCTCGGAGACGGGCATCCGAGCAAAATAAGTTGTGTCGTTTTCGAGCGTAGCGCATTGGTGCCTGCAACAGCAGGTCCACGCTATGTAAGTCCTGCCGATAATCAGCGCTGCCAGAAATACTGACATCACCAAATTCATGCTTATGTGCGTGGCTTTCGAGATCAGCACCTCCGGTGGCCGTCACGCTGCTCGCGAGGACAATCACGCTCCCGCCGATCGCGCTGGTGACGACCACACCGATCACGTTCGAGCCGATCCAACTGCTGAGGGTCAAAACCGCCAGTGTGCTTCCGGCGCCCAGGAAAAGAAAGATCACAGCATTTGCAGCAAGCCCTAGGATTGGACACACAAACGCAACTGCGGGCGCATGCAAGCAAAGGTAGCGTTCATCAGCATGGCGCCCCATGGGAAGAGGCGGGGCCCTACGAGGGGCTGAATAGTTCAGCCGCGTGAGCAGGACCGAAAGCAGGTCGCCGGATGACTGAAGAGGCCCAGAGACACACAAATAAATAAGCACAAATCCCAGGACCCCCCATATTTCCCATACTTTCTGGGTCTTCGTCAAGCCCCCCGCTTCTCATTTTTTGATTTATTTTCCTGGGAACCGACGATCAATTGCGTCTGTGTGTTTTTTCTCCTCCCGAATGGCCAAAGCAAAAAACCCTCAAGCCTGCCCCACAGCAGCGACGAGGCTCCAAGCCTTGGGGCACCGGCCTGGAACTTGAGCCAACCGGGCTGCGGCACGGAGGGCGGGCGGGAGGGAGAAGGAAGGGCGACGGGTCCTCGTCGGACGCAGGCACGACCCTAGTGTGCCATGGCCGGTTGCTCTCTAAACCTCTTCGGCCGGGCGCGAGAGGAGGAGGCGTCCTCCCGGAGCCCACGGCGATGACGCAAGGAGGAGGAGGAGGAGGAGGAGGAGGAGGAGGAGGAGGAGGAGGAGGAGGAGGAGGGAGGAGGAAAGGAGGAGGAAAGGAGAAGGGAGGGACGAGGGAGGGAGGGAGGGAGGGAGGGAGGGAGGGAGGGGCAGAGCCCCCGACGCGACCCTCGGGGGAGGGAGGCGAGAGAGAGGAGAGAGGCGGGGGGAGGGAGGAGGAAAGGAGAAGGGAGGGAGGAAGGAGGAGGTGAGTGGAGGGGAGGGAGGGGAGGGAGGAAGGAGGAGGGGAGGGGAGGGAGGGAGGGAGGGAGGGGAGGGAGGAGGGAGGGAGGGGAGGGGAGGAAGGCAAGCTAGGTGCGCTCGCGTCATATCTGACGTCCTACCCCTCCCTCCCATCCCTTACCATGGCGCTGATTCTCTCTATCCGCGGACGCGCGTCGTAGCGGACCTGTGGCTCCGCGCGCGCGTGCGTAGTGGGTGGTGGTGCACGTGCGTGCGTGCGTGCGTGCGTGTGTGCGTGGTGGTGGTGGTGGTGGTGGTGGTGGTGGTGGTGGTGGTGGTGGTGGTGGTGGTGGTGGTGGTGGTGGTGGTGGTGGTGGTGGTGGTGGTGGTGGTGGTGGTGGTGGTGGTGGTGGTGGTGGTGGTGGTGGTGGTGGTGGTGGTGGTGGGTGGTGGTGGTGGTGGTGGTGGTGGTGGTGGTGGTGGTGGTGGTGGTGGTGGTGGTGGTGGCGGTGCGGCGCGGTGGTGGCGGGCGGATGGGCGCGCGAGAAAAAGGCCCGCGCTGGGGCGAGAACGCCATCCTGAACGACGGAGGCCAAACACCGATCCGAAAATGAGGCCCACGCTGCAGCGGGAGCACGATTCGGAACGATTCGGGAGCAGAAATGAGGCCGGCGCCTCAACGAGAGCAGCATTTTGGGAAAAAATGACGCCGGCGCCTCAGCGAGAGTCGTTTCCTGGGATTTCCCGGGCATCCTGTGTGTTAAAAAACAGTACGCGGAGGGTGCGCGGCCATCACCCGGACGCCATCAGGGGAAGAGGGAGAGTATTTTCATATTGAGTAATTGTGGAGGGGAGGGGAGGGAGGGAGGGGAGGGGAGGGGAGGGGAGGGAGGGAGGGAGGAGGGAGGAGGGGAGAGGGAGGGGAGGGGAGGGAGGGGTGGGGCAGAGCCCCCGAACGCGACCCTCGGGGCGGCTCCGCGGCCGCAGAGAGGGCGGCGCCCAGGCGCAGGGCCCGCGGCGCGCGCCCCCCCTCGCGCAGAGGGGGCCCGCGGTCGCCCAGGCGCCCCTCGCCGGGCCCGCCGTTGGGCTCGAGCCGGAGGCGGCGGCCACCACGACCACGACACCGACCACGGCACCGACGACGACGACGAGAGGCGACGACGAGAGGCGACGACGACGACGACGACGACGACGACGACGACGACGACGACGACGACGACGACGACGACGACGACGACGACGACGACGGCGACGACGACTACGACGACGACAGACGCGACGACGACGACGACGACGACGACGACGACAACGACGAC